CCCTAGTTTATGGTTCTCCATGTCACTTGTCAGAGACCTGCTACATCTATTAAATTAGTTTTTTCAGGGGTACCCGGTTGGCTCAGCAGTTGAGCGTCTGCCTTCAGCTCAGGTCATGATCCCCAGGTCCTGGGATCGAGTCCCACATCGGGCTCCCTGCCTGGGGCCTGCTTCTCCCTCTGCCTGTGTCTCTGCCTCTCTCTCTCATGAATAAATAAATAAAATATTTGATTTTATTTATCTATTCCTGAGAGACACAGAGAATATTTTATTTATTTATTCATGAGAGAGAGAGGCAGAGACACAGGCAGAGGGAGAAGCAGGCCCCAGGCAGGGAGCCCGATGTGGGACTCGATCCCGGGTCTCCAGGATCAGGCCCTGGGCCAAAGGCAGCCTGAAACTGCTGAACCACCGGGGCAGCACCTAAATAAAATCTTAAAAAAAAAAAAAAAAAAAAAAAAAAGAGTTTTTTCAGGAGTGGGGCCCAGGAGGCTGTATAAAAACATGTCGAAAAACAAATGTTCCAGGGGATTCTAAGGCAGAACTAGTTTGGGGGAACTACTGGTCTAGTGCAGACCATCCATTTGACCCCGCAGGTAAGAGCCAGGGCTCAGAGCAGGGGAGCGACTGGCTCCAGCCTGCACAACCGGGGAGTGGCAGGGTCTAGGCCAGAGAGCAGGTCCCCTGGTTCCATGTCTCCGTGTCTCCCCAACGCAGAACAAGACAGGAGTTTAACTTGCCAACAGGAAGACCCCACATAGAGCTTAGAAGAGTTTCTTGGCTACTCGGGTGTTAGCAGGTTCTTGGTGCCAAGGGACGGAAAACTGATTCTGGCTGATGGACACCAGTGAATGAATCTGATGGAAGGCACATTGGGTAGGAAGAGAAAAAACTATTTCTTGACTCGTACTCACATTTCTGACACCAAATATGTGGGTTTTTTCACACGGGGCATTTCTGACACCAGCTACCCCACCGGGTAAGGACTCAGTGCCCATGACTGCTCCCTGCTTCAGATGCCAGTTGCAGATCTGGGCTTCCAGTACTTTTGATCAACTGGCTATAAATTGGGGTTCCTATGACCCCCTCCTTGGCTTAATAATTTGCTAGAACAGCTCACAGACCTTAGGAGAGGACTTTACTTATTATTACTGATTTTTTTTTTTCTTTGAAATATATAAAGGAGACAACTCAAGAACAGCCAAATGGAAGAGATGCGTGGGGCAGGGCGGATGGGAAAGGATGCAGAGCTTCCATGAGATCTCTGGGTGTTTCATTCTCCCGGTGCCTTACTGTGCTTACCAACCTGGAAGCTCTCTGAGTCTTCTGTGGTTTTTTTTTTTGTTTGTTTGTTTTAAATATTCTATTTATTAATTCATGAGAGACACAGAGAGAGAGGCAGAGACACAGGCAGAGGGAGAAGCAGGCTCCCTGCGAGGACCCTGATGGGGGATCAAATCATGCCCTGAACCAAAGGCAGATGCTCAACCACTGAGCCACCCAGGCGTCCCCAAATCTTCTGTTTAGAGTTTTCATGGAGGTTCCATTACATAGGCGTGATTGGCTATTGACCATTGCTGATTCAACTCAATCTCTAGCCCTTCTTCCCTTCCCAGAGGTGGAAAATTCCAACCCTGTAAACACAGGGTTATTTCCTCAGGCAACCAGCTCCCATCCTCCAAGAGTCACTTCATTAGCATGGGCTTATTATGAATAACAGAAGATGCTCCTCCCACCCCTGTCACTCAGGAAATTCCAAGGGTTTTCTAGCTCTGTGCCAGGAACTGGGGATGAAGACCAAATATATGTATCTTTGTACAGCACAATATCACTGGTAGGTTACAAAATCCCTGGAAGGCTGCAGAAACAAGGTTTGGGAAATAAGCGGTGACAAAAGGAGACCAGGCACCTAGAACGACACCGAGATCACATTGCAGGGCCTGGTAGGTGAAGGCGGCCCCCCTGCTACTGCTGCTGCGTGCTCATTGCTACCACCTGCATCAATGATGCCACTGTGACCCCAAGGGCATGGACACTGGATCCAGCCACCACTGCTTTCGAGTGCACCAGTGTAAAGAACTTACCCAGTTTTGAAGCTCCAGCCTCAAAAATCCTAAGCAAGTGTGGCTAATGGGTGAAGCTTAAGTCACTACCTGAGCCTAGGGACCTGGCCGAACAAGGAGGACTGGGAGTTTTTACCCTCTGTAGTGGGAAGTGGTCCCTGCTGCCCATCATTCATGAGATGAAGGATTCCCCAAGAACCCTGACAAGTGACCTTTATCTAAGTGTTATCAAAAGAAGACACTGGGAGCCCTTGACGTGTGCAGATTCAACACTTTCAGTTTTGCATTTCATTATCTACCCTCAAAAGCCCCTTGTAAGTGGATGTGAATTGGATGACTTTGCTGCAGCCAGTCATTCAGGAGCTAGTGAGCCAGGCCTACTGTTCCTCTTGGGCTCGCCTGTCTTCACTCTTCTCTACTAGTTACAGCCTTTGGGTAACCTGCATGCAGTGACGAAGATCTTTCTTTTGTGTTGGAGAAGAGACTCCTAAAAATAAATCACTTGATAGTGCTAGAAATAGAAATGAGAAGAAAGTGAAGAAGCTTGAGAAAGTGACTTTTTTTGTGTATGTGTGTGTGGCCAAAAATAGAAGTGGGGGATAAAATTGGCATGGAATGTCGGGTTCAGCGGTGCCTAGGATTTCTGGGGGAGCTACTATGTGTGTCACATAGCTACAAGGAAAGGTGCTTTGGGAAATTGTCTTAATGGGTGTTTCAGCCAGTGCAGAAATTGCTCTTCGAGAGACAGGTTAAACTTGGCTTAAAGACGAAGAGGCACAGTGAACTAACCAAGGTTCTATTTTCTTTTCTTCTTTGGGACCTTGGGTGCAAAGGGTTGAACCTGGTCAATTAATACTCCTCATATAACAAACTTTATAAATAACCCTACATCTACATTTATGGAATTATTTAGGGTCTGAAATGCAATTGCTTAAAATTTTCTGGCTATAATTTATGACTTGATCTTGGGAGACACTATGTGGTATATTCAGTTTCCTGAAAGAGCTTTGGAAAAATCTTGTGCCATTGTACAGGATCTCCTGTGTAAATCTCCTTATGGAAATCTTTTTCTACTTTTTTTTTTTTTTTTTTAAGGCAGAAGAGTGTTCTGGGTAAATGAGTAGGACCCCACCCTTTCCAGTCCTTGGCCAAGACAATGGCTCTATGATTCATCACATGAGCAATGCTTATTCCAGATAAAGTCGGGATGTAGGGAAGTTCTTTCCACTTTTCCTCTTAAGAATACTTGCTGGCGCGCCTGGCTGGCTCAGTTGGTAGAGCATATGACTCTTGATCTCAGGGTTGTGAGTTTGAGTGCCATGCTGGGTGTGGAGCCTATCGAAAAAAAATTAGAATACCTGCCAGCCATTAAGGGAAGGTCTTTAGCTTTTGCTGCACAGGGGGACATCTTCATTTTTTTTTCTTTTTTATTTATTTTTTTTATTTATGATAGTCACAGAGAGAGAGAGAGGCAGAGACACAGGCAGAGGGAGAAGCAGGCTCCATGCAGGGAGCCTGATGTGGGACTCGATCCTGAGACCCCAGGTCATGCCCTGAGCTGAAGGCAAAGCCACTGGTGAGCCACCCAGGCGTCCCTCCTCTAACGTTCTTTTTAACAATCTACCTTTATTGCTCCACACTGGTAGGATGAGAACTTTTCACAGCAGTGCCACCCAGTTTTGATCTGTATTTGTGTGTGTGTGAGTGTGTGTGTGTGTGTGTGAGAGAGAGAGAGATTTCAACAAGAGTTGACAGCCACCTGATAAAGATAAAAGAGATAAAAGGTAGGAGGTGAGGCATCACATCAAGCCAATACTAAAGAAAGGTCATGAAACTTGGAAGATCTTTGCTTAGTGAGTAAGAAAGCACAGCCAGTGCAATAATAATTCCACTCCATATGCAACACCATGATGAGAGTGACCAAGTGAATAATTTCACAGCTGCAATGCTTTTATATCTCTCCAAGAGTATGATGTGTTGCCTTGTTTTGAGGCGCCTGCTTTATTTAATTGGGCCTTCAAAAATTCTAAATCTAAAGTATGTTTCTGGAGACTCTCTCCCAACTTTGACCTGTAGAACCCATGGAGTATCCGGACCATGCCTATGCAAGGACAAAATTAATGGCCTAACCTTAGATTAGCCTAGGGAGGAAAACCTTGTACCTAGGAGCAGAGGTCCTGCTGAGCAGACTTCAGCAGAGTATAAGGAAGAGCTACCTAAGAATTAGAACTGCCAGAAAACTGAAGTTCTTTGTAATTTTTCGCTACGATAAATAGTTCTGCACTGAACATTTTGAAATATAGCTTCTTGCACTTGCTCAGATACATTTGGAGGATAGATTTCTACCAGTAGAGTGGTTCTGTTGAAAGGTGTATGCTTTTCATATTTTGTAGCTACTGCCCAATTGCCTTCCCAGAAGGCTGCACCCATTTCTCATAGCCTCATAAATACGAATAATCTTTTTTCTTTTCTTTTCTTTTTTTCTTTTCTTTTCTTTTTTTCTTTTCTTTTCTTTTTTTCTTTTCTTTTCTTTTCTTTTCTTTTCTTTTCTTTTCTTTTCTTTTCTTTTCTTTTCTTTCTTTTCTTTTCTTTTCTTTTCTTTTCTTTTCTTTTCTTTTCTTTTCTTTTCTTTTCTTTTCTTTTCTTTTCTTTTCTCTCTCTCTTCTTTTCCTTTCCTTTCGGAAATCTTTTTCATTGTTTGATCGGTAATTTCTTCAAGGTGGTGAACTGGGCTCTCAGGAACTTAGGTGTGGGAGCAGAAGATAAACAAGAGTGGGAGGGACAGGGAATGCCAGAGACTGGAAGCACACCTGTGAGCATCGAGCAGCAGATGGTGGAGAGCTGCTTCGCCAGGGGGAGGCCCCTGTCTCCAAGGAACAGGGCACACAAACAGAGCTGGAAGTCAGAGTGTGAGTGTCATTGAGAAGAGAGGTAAAAACCAAATTGCTGCAGTTGCTACCAACATGTTCGTCTATTGCTGGAGCCAGAAGGAGCTAGAACTGGTAGTCAGATCTCATTACTGGACGTTTCAAGGAAGAGAGCAGACCCACAGTGAGTCCTGGCCAAGCTGAATGGGTTGTATATCTTTGTAGCACAGGGAATACATTTTTCTAAAATACCTGAAATGCTGGGCTTGACTTTCCAAAAATTCTAGAAATTTTGAAATCGAGAGAAGACAAAATTTTGAGGAAATATGATCCTTAGTTTTTAAAGCTCCTTTTAAGCTTTAAAGTTGTATTAACAATGTAGAATTAAAATTGTTTTTAAAGATTTTATTTACTTGGGAAAGAGAGAGCGCGAGAGTGAGCACGAGCAAGAGAAAGAGCAGAGGAAGAGGGAGAAGCAGACTCCCCGCTGAGCAGGGAGCCTGACTATGTGGGACTCCATCCAGGACTCTGGGATCATGAGCTGACCCGAAGGCAGACACTTAACCAACTGAGCCACCCAGGTGCCCTTAACAACGCAGAATTTAATTTCCTTATAAAATGATCATGTATGGTATCTGTATTTACAGTAGAGCTTATTAATACAATGTTAACCATCCCTAACTGAACTTATTTAGTTAATTTTAAGATTTTACTTTAATTTTTATTTTCTAAAATTTTTTCTAATGATTTTATTCATTTATTCATGAGAGACACAGGGAGAGGCAGAGATACAGAGAGAGGGAGGAGAAGCAGGCTCCATGCAGGAGCCCGATGCAGAACTCGATCCTGGAACTCCAGGATGAGGACCCGAGCCAAAGACAGATGCTCAACTACTTGAGCCACCCAGGTGTCCCTACTTCACTTTTTGTTTATTTTTTAAAAATTTTTATTTATTTATGATAGTCACAAGGAGAGAGAGAGAGAGAGGCAGAGACATAGGCAGAGGGAGAAGCAGGCTCCATGCACTGGGAGCCTGACGTGGGATTCGATCCCGGGTCTCCAGGATCGCGCCCTGGGCCAAAGGCAGGCGCCAAACCGCTGCGCCACCCAGGGATCCCCTACTTCACTTTTTAAAGAGTAATCTCTATACCCAACATGGGGCTCAAACCTACAACCTTGACATCAAGAGTCTCATGTTTTACTGACTGAGCTAACCAGGGGTCCTTGAACTTTTATTATTGATTTTTTAATAAGATTATTTATTTATTTATTTATTTGACAGAGAAAGGGAGAGCACAAACAGGGGGAGTGGCAGGCAGAGGGAGAGGGAGAAGCAGGCTCCCCACTGAGCAAGGAGCCGGATATGATATCGGACTCAATCCCAGGACCTTGGGATCATGACCTGAACTGAAGGCAGACACTCAACCAACTGAGCCACCCAGGTGCCCCCCCCTTTTAAGATTTTATTTATTTATTCATGAGAGACACAGAGAGAGAGAGAGAGAGGCAGAGACACAGGCAGAGGGAGAAGCAGGCTCCATGCAGGGAGCCCGGTGTGGGACTTGATCCCGGGTCTCCAGGATCATGCCTTGGGCCAAAGGCAGGTGCCCAACTGCTGAGCCACCCAGGCTTCCCCAGATGCCCCATTTTTAAAAGATTTTGTTTATTTATTTTATTTTATTTTATTTTATTTTTTATTTTATTTTTTATGTTTTTTTGTTTGTTTGTTTGTTTATTTATTTTAGAGAGAGTGAGTGGCAGGGGGTGGCGGAGGAGCAGCTGAGGGAGAAAGACAAGCAGATTCCTTGATGGGTGCAGAGCCTGACACGGGGTTTCATCCCACAACACAGATCATGACCTGAGCCAGAAACAAGAGTCCAACACTCAACCGACTGAGCCACCCAGGTGCCCCGAACTTATTTTTAAAATGCTTTAATATTTGCTGTTAAAAGCTGCAGATCTTAAATCCGCACTGTGTTTTGCCAATTATGAGAAGTTGTGAAACTAGAAACAATCACCAACATTCAAGGAAAATTCATGAAACAGTGAGGTCTATAGACTTAGTGTCTGACCCTGGGGAGGGTGGGTGAGTGGGGAGGGTAGAAGATGTAGAGGAGGGAACTTTCTTCTCAGAAAAGTTGCTGGGGAAAAGTAACATAAAAGGGGAATTCTCTTCTTCTCTAAATTTACTGAATATAATCTATTGTAATGTGGAAACTGCCTAATGAACTATTTTAAACAATAAATTCAGTATGAGTTGATTGCAGTAACTTGCAGTCTGAAAATAGGCCCTAGACTCAGCCCTATCCCTTTCATCTTTCCATCCATCCATCCATCCATCCATCCATCCATCCATCCACACACCCACTCATCTATCCATAGCTAATAATAACTAATAATTGTGGAGTGTTTATTATGTGCCAGATACTATTCCAAGTGCTTTACATGCATTACCTTGAATGATCTTTCCAACAATGCTACAAGGTAAGGTCTATCATTATCCCCACTTTATTTTTATTTTTTTGAATTATCTCCACTTTAAAGTGTAATCTGAGAGTTTTCCAGTAAGTTTTTTTTTTTTTTAAGATTTTATTTATTCATGACAGACACAGACACAGAGAGAAGCAGAGACACAGGCAGAGGGAGAAGCAGGCTCCACGCAGGGAGCCTGATGTGGGACTCGATCCTGGGACTCCAGGATCACACCCCAGGCCAAAGGCAGTGGTAAACCACTGAGCCACCAGGGCTGCCCTCCAGTAAGTTAAATATAGAATTACTATATAGCTTAGCAAGTCCACTCCTAGGTATAGACCTCAAATAACTGAAAGCAGGTGTTCAAACAATGCACAGGGATGTTCATAGCAACTCTATTCACAATATCCAAAGACAGAAACAATCTAAATGTCCTTCAACAGTCCAACAGATAAACAAAATATGTTTATATATCTGTACAATGCAGTGTTATTCAGCCATAAAAAGGAATGAAGTACTGGGTTGCCTGGCTGGCTCAGTCAGTAGAGCACGTGACTCCGTTTTTTTTTTTTTTTTAAGTTTTTATTAAATTCCAGTTAGTAAACATACAGGGTAGTATTAGTTTCAGGTGTAGGTTTAGTGATTCATCACTTACATGCAACACCCAGCAGTCATCACAACAAGTGACCTCCTTAATTCCCATCACCTATTTCATACATCCCTCCACCCTCCCACCTCCTCTTTCTCCCACCTGTGACTATTGATCTCAGGGTTGTGAGTTTAAGCCCCACACTGGGTGTGGCACCTACTTAAAAAAAAAAAAAAGGAACAAAGTACTGATACAGGGCACAACCTGGATCAACCTTGCAAACTTACTACTAAGAGAAGCCAGACTCAAAAGGCCTCATGTTGTATGATTCCATTTTCTTTTTTTTTTTTAATTTTTTATTTATTTATGATAGTCAGAGAGAGAGAGAGAGAGAGAGAGAGAGAGAGGCAGAGACACAGGCAGAGGGAGAAGCAGGCTCCATGCACCAGGAGCCTGATGTGGGACTCGATCCCGGGTCTCCAGGATCGGGCCCTGGGCCAAATGCAGGTGCCAAACCGCTGCGCCACCCAGGGATCCCCTCCATTTTCTTTTCTTTTAAAGATGTTATTTATTTATTTATTTGACAGAGAGTGAGAGGGAGAGAGAAGGAGAGAGGCGCAAGCAGGGGGGAGTGGCAGAGGGAGAGGAAGAAGCAGGCTTCCTGCTTCTTAAAAAAAATCTTAAAAAAAAATAAAATGGCTAAAGTGGTACACTTTAGGTTATGTGTATTTTACCACAATTTAAAAAAATGCAATCTGAGGCTCAGAGAATTTAAGTGACGTACCTAAATTTACAGTTGACATGTAGTAGAGCTGTGTCCTAATCCCAGTCTTCCGGCTCCATGGATCATGTTTTTTTAAAAAAGTTACCGTGAAAAACCTTATTTGGGGTCATTTAGGAAATTTAGATGCATGAACCTAAGCTGAAAATATCAGTATTATATCATTGGTGAAGTACATATTGGTGACACAAACACTGTATCTAATCTTCACAAGGACTTTGAAAGTTTCACATTATTTGTGTGTGTGTGAAATATACATAACTTAAAATTTGCCTTTTTAACCATTTTTTAAATGCTTTTTTTTAAAAAAGATTTTATTTATTCATGAGAGACACAGAGAGAGAGAGGCAGAGACACAGACAGAGGGAGAAGCAGGCTCCATGCAGGGAGCCCGATGTGGGACTCGATCCTGGGACTCCAGGATCATGCCCTGGGCTGAAGGTGGCACTAAACCGCTGAGCCACCTGGGCTGCCCCCATTTTAACCATTTTTAATTTTAACCATTTTTAAGTGTACAATTCAGTGGCATTAACTATCTTAAATTGTTGTGCAAGTCTCATTACCATCCATCTCCAGGACTTTTTTGTCTTCCCAAACTGAATCTTTGTACTCATAAAACATACAGCCCCCCATCACCCACCCCCCCACCCCACAACTACTAATCTTTTTTTCTTTTTTCCAACTACTATTCTATTGTTTATGCTACCAGGCCCTAGGCCATTGTCTATGGTTGCTAAGAAAAATAAGACAAGGTCATTCCTCTGGTCTGTCTGGTGTTAGAACCCCATCCTCTAGGGACCTTGCCACTAGCTCCTCTTCAGCAGGTTAGAGAGGTCCAGTTGCAGGATGAGCATGTTGCTGAAGCCCCCAGAGGGGATGCCCATGGCTGGGGAGGAGGAGAAGGCAGTCAGTGGAGGCAGTGAATGAATTATGGTTGAGATGAAAGACGGAGAGAGAGATTTCAATAGGAAAATCTGTTAGGAAGGTTGAAGACGAAGAGAATTGGGAACAGAATCATTGCCTTTTTACTTCAGGTAATTCTGAGGAGTACGTGAGATTTTGCAGTGAGGCTGTGCTTTGAAATGCCAAGGGGGCTCTGCAAACGTGGTTGGGACTCACATCACTCCAGAAGTGGATTTGTTTGAAGGGCATAACTCAGGAGATTGATTTCAGTGGGGCATGCAGATGACCAGCTGGTTAGGGTATAGATTCCTCCTTCAAGACACTGGGCCCCAAAGGGAAGGGGAGAAATAGTATAGGAGTTGAGACTCTAGGATCAGGTAAAGTTGTCTTAGATATGTCTTTCTTAGTTTTTTTATTTTTTTATTTTTTTATTAAAGTAGTAATACATGGATAGCCCGGGTGGCTCAGCGGTTTAGCACTGCCTTCAGCCCAGGGCATGATCCTGGGGTCCCAGGATTGAGTCCTGCATCGGGCTCCCTGCATGGAGCCTGCTTCTCCCTCTGCCTGTGTCTCTGCCTCTCTCCCTGTGTGTGCCTCTCATGAATAAATAAAATCATAAAAACAAATAGTGATACATACTTTAAAAAATCAAATAGGGGCACCTGGCTGGTTCAGTCGGTAGAGTGTGCTACTCTCGATCTTGGGTTGTGAGTTCAAGGCCCATGTTGGATGTAGAGATTACTTAAAAATAAAATTTAAAAAACTCTTCAGGGATCCCTGGGTGGCGCAGCGGTTTAGTGCCTGCCTTTGGCCCAGGGCGCGATCCTGGAGACCCGGGATCGAATCCCACATCGGGCTCCCGGTGCATGGAGCCTGCTTCTCCCTCCGCCTGTGTCTCTGCCTCTCTCTCTCTCTCTCTCTCTCTCTCTCTCTGTGACTATCATAAATAAATAAATAAAAAATTAAAAAAAATAAAATAAAAAACTCTTCAAATATAAACAGAGGTGGATTTTCTCTGAGACTAATAGAGCTTAAATGTCAGGTCTCTCATTTGCATGGGCTCCTTCAAAGGCCGTGTATCCACTTTTGCAATTTTTATATTTTGTAATTTTTTAAAATAAATTTTTATTTATTTATTTATTTATTTATTTATTTATTTATTTATTTATTTATTTATTTATTTATGATAGAGAGGCAGAGACATAGGCAGAGGGAGAAGCAGGCTTCATGCAGGGAGCCTGACGTGGGACTCGATCCCGGGTCTCCAGGATCACGCCCTGGGCCAAAGGCAGACGCTAAACCGCTGCGCCACCCAGGGATCCCTGTATTTTGTGATTTTAATTTTATATTATTTTTTCCAAGATGAAACTCCGAAGGGAAAGGAGATCGTTTAGCTGGTCAAGACTTGGTTCAGTTATGCAGTGTGCATGGTTTAAGCTCTGAGATGCATCACCTCACAACAAACACCTCATCTCTTACACTGAAGGTTGACTTGACAGTCCGTGGCAGAGGGGAATGAAGGGGTATACAAGGTAGAGTTTCTATTCCAAGGCCCTAGTCCATCCTTTTAGGTGGCAGCAATAGAGGAAACCAGAAGTGATCCCGGGGAGTTCTTTCCCTCATCTGGGGAGATCCTCATACTTTGTCACAACTGAATACTGATGATGAGGGTATGGATATTATAAGTATTTGGAAACCAGATGTTTAATTGCCTTCTATTAATATACAGGAAAGCCTTGGAAACCAATGGTTATGCTAGAGAGCCCAGGAAAGAGTCATGGCCCAAGGACTATGGGGTTATCTGTTTTTCACTGACATTCATGGCCCTTTCAGGTGGAGGGAGGACTCAGGACAATGGCTGCTGATGGTGATTTGGAGATGGAGGATGTGAATCTGAATATGGGTAGAGACATGAAAGGAGAGCTGGAAGAGGAGAAGGAAATGCAAGAGGACTGGAGAAGCAAAGATCGCTTCAAGAATAAAAAGGTCCACAGGGTTGTCTCAAAATGGATGCTTCCTGAAAAGGTCCGAAGAACATACTTGGAGAGAGCCAACTGCTTCCCACCCCCTATATTCATCATCTCCATCAGCCTTGCGGAGGTGAGCATGTTGGGCGGGGGGTGCTAGAGCAAGTAGCACTGGGTGGGGGAGGGAGGAGGAGGAGGCTTTGACCTCATCTGGTCAAAGTGGTAACACGTGGGAAAAGAGCTTGGTAGTGGCCAGTACAGCACTCATGGAACTCAACAGCACCCTCTCTGGAGCCCCCTTAGGTCCATCTTCCCTATGATTGCAGCCACTTTCAGCCAAGGGTTGAGGTTTATTTTTCAAGCAACCGCCCCACCCAGCAGTGACTATGATTTTCAGTGGCTTCGTTTCATTTTAGTTGTTGGGGCTTTAGAAGCCAAATCATCTTGGAATCACAAATTGGTCTCATGAACCGACTTGGATTGGTAAGGTCTTTCTGTGGAGCCATTATAGGAGCCTCACCAGAAGAGCTGTGGGCTGCCTCCAGATTTCAGTAGGGGGAAAAAATGGGATCCCCTACTGATGTCTACTGTGGGCAGCCTGTAGTGTGTTTTGACTCTGATCTAGTCAGCCCTTTGATTTTCCAGAAAAGAGTACAACACCCAGAGAAGTGGAATGACTTGCCCAAGGTCACATACTTAGTGGCTGGGCCAGGACTGGGCTTCTCCTGAGCCTCATTGTGCCTACCTTTTCCTCCTTCACCACGATGCCTCATAAAGGAATTGGCAGGGTATGGATGTGTGTGGGGTGTGACTTTGGGGTCATTAGGAAGTCTCTAACATAATCCTCTTAATTCCCATCGATGTCATCCCTGGTGACATGAGGCTTCATCACTTGGTTAAGGCTTCTGTTCTGTAAGGTTATTACTGTTCCCTTTCCCCTCATCTACCCCTTGCAAGCCAGCAGCGATTTAATTTCACATTAACTTGTAAGTGAAAGACTAAATGATGGGAAGGGGCAGTGAGAGCAGAGGGTATTTAAGGGGGTCGAGGGGTTCTTTATATTTGGTCTCGGGCTGCTCCTAATCACTGGAGGAAGTAGGATGTGACTGCAGTTACATGGTCAGATATATGGCAAGGGGGTTTCATTCCTGTCGTCCTCTGAGCACACGCTGTGGAGAGGCCCACTTGAGAGCTAATCGTTTGGAAGCAAGGTAGGGCCCACGGGGCTTATGTAATAGGGCCACTCTGGCAGAGAAAGTGGTTGACATTCGTGTCTGCCCCTCCCTGGCAGCTGGCAGTGTTTATTTACTATGCTGTGTGGAAGCCTCAGGAACAGTGGATCACCCTGGACACAGGCATCCTGGAGAGCCCCTTTATCTACAGCCCTGAGAAGAGGGAGCAAGCCTGGAGGTTTATCTCATACATGCTGGTACATGCTGGGTAAGGAATGACAGTAAGTCGCGGATGTCGGAGGTGACTGCAAGTACTCGTAACCCCCAGCATTTGGTTGGCGCTCTTATTGATAAGGCAATTACATGGCCATAATCTTTGATCCTCAGCGACCCTAGGAGGCAGGTACTAGTCCTGCCCTACTGTGTCCGAGGCTTGGGGGATGTTACTCGCTCCATGTCACTTGGCTAAGTTGCAGAGCTGGAACCATTAGTGCTAACTCCGCGTCCAGTGTACTTTCTATTTCATGATCATTGCCCAATATTGGTATTTATATAGGAATATTCATGAGAAGAGACCAAATCATTCTAAACGATATGTATGTTCCCCTAGTTGCTTTGATGTTGTTAAAATGTTCCCTTTAGGATATGAATCATCAATCCCTCCCTCCCTACACCTGCCACACACTTAAAAAAAAAGAATTCGTGAGCACTTTGCTGAGTGTGTAACACGGACTAACACAAGCCATGGGCAATGCCCTGCCTGCCATTTGGCTTCTTATATGCTCATCATCTTTTGTGACCTTGCTCAGAACCCATGAATCACTGTGCCCATGGCAGGCAGTGAGCAAGCTGCCTGCTGCTGGGTTCCCCCTCCAGTGGACGCCTGGGGGTTCAGATGGGGCCAACTTCATCTTTGTGACCTACCCAGCCCTGGACCTTGAAGGAAGATGCTGGCCAGCATCCACAGCAGGACACAGGGCTCAGAGGCTTGACAAATCAAGGACAAAATTGCTTATTGCCCAGTTTCTATGGATCCTTTCGGTTTGGTTTTTCATTTAACATGTTCTGAACAAACATGGCTCCTGCACTCAAGGGATTTATATGGGCGAGCAGTCGGTTAGATAGTAACTCAGGGCCATATGGCATTATAGTCATAGTAGTGACTTGGTAAAATGGGGCAATAGTATCTGTCCCATGAGGATGCTGTGATTAAATGACACCGTGGTTATCATGTAATTTCTGCAGTGTCCAACACATAGCAAAGCACTCAAAAAGAGGTCTCAAGGCTGTGTAGGACAGTCTCAGGGCTGTAGAGGTTTGGAATGCTTTTGGATGAAAGTAACCAAAAGAATCTAATGGGGGCCTAAACAAATGGAGGTAATTCTTTACCATACAAGAAGCCCAGAGGTTTGTGGTTAGTTCATGAGTCTTTTTTTTTTTCTTAATTCATGAGTCTAATGAAGCCAAGACTCCTGGTTCTGTGCTGGCGTCTCTGGTTTTCCCTTGACCTTTCTCTCATGGCTGCAAGTTGGCAGCTATAGCTGGGTGTTAAAAGCAGGAAGGGGAAGTGTAGGACCAGGTACTGGTGAAATCCATCCCGTTTGCCTGGAAAGCAGCTTTCTTACTAGTCTCCCATCAGCCCATCAGTGCTGCTCTGACCTGCATTTTGTTGGCCAGAACCATGGACACGACTACCCCTAGCTGAGAGAGGCTGGCCAAATGATAAGGAGATCGATGTGGGCTTAGTTATTGTAGATATAAACAGAAAGAAAGGAAGGTCAGAATGGGGATGGTTTCACAGATGACATGGGTTCCAGCTGGACTTGGAAGGGTAGATAAAATTTGGATGAAAAAAGTTAGTATTTCTGTTCCGAAGTTTTGATAGGATCTCATCCTTATGCCATTTCTACTCATGTTATTGAGCAGCAGAAAGAACACCGAGGGTGATTCCTTGGGGTTTTTGTGCTACTGGTCACTTTGTCCTCAAGCTGTTGCCAGAGGACAGGATGGGTGGCTTCCTTTGACTTTGTTCAAATTCACTAAGGGCACAGATTTCCAAATACTCTTTATGTCTGACGTCTCTCTGTAAGGCCAGTGTCACTGTCCTTGCTGGACTATTGTGTGCTGAATTATATGTTACTTCTTGTATGTCTTTGAAGATGCCTTGGGCAGTGATAGTTGTGGCTGGGTGCACACGTGGCCATGAAGGTAAGTAATCCGTTCTGCAGTCTATGCCCGGAGAACCTCTGCTGGGTATTTGTTGAGCAATTTATAATGCAAAAACACAATCCTAAAGCTAGTATGAAAGCTGCTACACTTTGTGGAAGATCCAACACCTATTTTGTTTTTTAACTTTTTCGTTTAACCTTGAAATCTCTTACGTAATAACTAAATTGAGGATTACTGTAATGTGGGAATGTACCAAGATACATCCAGAAATCCTCCAGAGATAACCTGTGGGGTTTGGCAGGCAACATAATGTGAATTTTATTTAAAAATATTTTTACCTCTGTAAAAACTAGAATAAAAGCAACGGGTGCTCAAATATGTCATATGCCAATACTACAGTTTGGCAGATGCTAACTTTAGCTGGTGTTACTGGGTAAACTTTCTTTTTCATCCTGGTAAACTGTTTTTTTCAGCTTTTTAAGGTAGAACCGGGGATGAGGTTTCTCTTGCCGTCTCTGTTTTATTAAAGAATATCCTAAGACGGCAAGAGCAGTTGTTTAAAAACCTATTGAAACTTGGGGGCATCTAGCTGGCTCAGTCGGTAGCGTGTGCGACTCTTGATCTTGGTGTTTCCACATTGGGTGTGGAGATTACTTTAAAAAACAAAACAAAACTATTGAAACTTAAACTCTCAGTCCTAAAATTAGGACTTTCTCAATACCATGCGAACAAAACAAAATCAGATGCCAGGGGCTGATGTAAGATGGTAATTGTCATCTAAACCTAATATCAAGTTTCTGTTCCTTAAGCCATCCTTATTGCTCCCTGATATTGTCAGTCACTTGTTTTTTGTTTGTTTGGTTGGCTTTTTAAGATTCTATTTATTTATTCACGAGAGACACAGAGACATAGGCAGAGGGAGAAGCAGGCTCCCCACTGGGAGCCTGATGCGGGACTCGATCCCAGGATTGCGTTGTCAGTCACTGTTATAAAACAGAACTTATAATATGAATGTACACTTCCAAAATGTCCTTTGTCTGTTTTACATACTGAGATTTTATTTAAAAGAAAAAAAAAGTCACCTAAAAATACTAGAAAATGGCATTTGAGTGAAGCAAGTCTGTCATCAGGAACAAGACACCAACGCCTGTTAATGTCCCAAAGAAATAACTATGTGCGTTGGTCATAATTTTTGACTACTGTGTTTGTCTCTGCAGAGTTCAGCACATCTTGGGGAATCTTGTTATGCAGCTCGTTTTGGGTATTCCCTTGGAAATGGTCCACAAAGGTCTCCGAGTAGGGCTGGTGTACCTGGCAGGAGTGATCGCAGGTTAGTGTCCTCAGGGTCAACACAGAATCGATGCCTCTGCACTCTGAGGAGGCAATGCACAAAGCAAAAGTAATCTACGTTTTAAAAATAATATTTATTTGTTCATGAGAGACACAGAGAGAGGCAGAGACACAGGCAGAGGGAGAAGCAGGCTCCCTACAGGGATCCCGATGCGGGACTTGATCCCGGGACCCTGGGATCAAGACCTGAGCTGAAGGCAGACACTCAACCGCTGAGCCACCCAGGTGCCCCCAAAATCCAGGTTTTGAATTAGATCTGCTGAGCCACCCAGGTTTCCCAGTAATCAACATTTAAGTCAAGATTTACTGCACTCCTAATATGGGCTGGGGAACCTGATGAGCATTAGAAATTAATTAGGGGCAGCTGGCTGGCTCTGTCAGAAAAGCATGCGACTCTTGATCTCGGGATCATGAGTTTGAGCCCCATGTCAAGTATAGAGATTTCTTAAATAAAGCTTAAACAAAAAAGAAGTTAGAAGGGTGCCTGGATGGCTCAGTTGGAAGAGCATGCTACTCTTTATTTTAGGGTGGCGAGTTTGAGCCCCACATTGGGTGTAGAGATTACTAAACGAAAAATAAACAAAAAAAAGTTAAAAATATCTGAGAGAAGATAAGCAGATGGGTAGAGGTCATGGTGCCTGTCCTCAGATATCTCAGAGTCGGACTGGGTTTTGCACAATTGGGAGTTGTGTGTAGTGTCCAGGTGCACAGATTGGGTAGAGACTTAATAGCTAGATCATGAAGGCCCAATGTGTCAGACTGGTGATCTTGGGAAGTAACACGAATTTGCGTTTAAGAAAACACAAATTTGCGTTTAAGAAAGACAGTTTGAAGAGAATGCAGAGAAGAGCTAGAGGGGCCCCCGAAAGCTCAAGAGAGACTAGCTGCATGCCAGTGATCTCTGAAGTTGGGTGTGCCTTAAGATGATCCACTTTGGTCGGAGCAGAAAAATCTTAGAATTCCCATCTACCCTTTTATTGGAGACTTTATTTTTTTATTTTTTATTTATTTATTTTTTAATTAAACTTTTTTACATTGCAGTTGTATGAAATCAATACGTAGTGGTCCCATGTGTCCTTTAACCAGTTACCCCCAATGGTAACAGCTTGCAAAATGACAGTACACAGTATCACAACCAGGATATCCACCTGGATACTGTCAAGGTGCAAAACAAGGATCCCTCACGTTGTATTTTTACAGTCACACGCGCTTCCCCCCCACACCCTCCTTCACCTTGACAACCACTAATCTGTTCTCTATTTCTATAATTTTCTCACTTCAAGAATGTCATATAAATGGAATAACACAGCATATCACTTTTGGGATTGGTGGTCTTCGCATGGCATAATTCTTTGGAGATCAGTGTAGGTTGTTGCATGTATCAACACTTCTTCATTTTTATTGCTGAGTAGTATTCCAATGGCTAGACCACTGTTTGTTTAACTCTTTTTGTTTGTTTCTTTGTTTTTTTGTTTAACTCTTGACTCATTGGAGACTCTCTGGGTTGTTTCCAGTTTGGGGCTATCACAAATAAAGCCGTTATAGTGTGTACAGGTTTTTGTGAACAAAAGTACAGAGTTTTGTGAACATACATTTTCATTTCTCTGGGATAAATGTCCACAAGCACAGTTCTTTGGTTGTATAGTAGTTGCATATTTCGTTTTTTAAGAATCAGACAAAACGTTTTCCAGAATGGCTGTTCCATTTTACATTCCCTCCAATATTGTATAAGTGATTCCATTTTCCACATCCTCACCACCATTTGTTTTTTCCTCACCACCATTTGTGTTGTCACCATTATTTCAGCTGTGCTTGTAAGTGTGCAGTGATATCTCATCATGGCCTTAACCTGCTTTACTCAAATGGCTAATGATGCTGAACACCTTTTTTTTTCCCCCTAAGATTTATTTATTTATTCATGATAGAGAGAGAGAGAGAGAGAGAGAGAGAGAGAGAGAGAGAGGCAGAGACACAGGCAGAGGGAGAAGCAGGCTCCATGCTGGGAGCCCGATGCGGGATTCGATCCCAGGACCCCAGGATCGCACCCTGGGCCAAAGGCAGATGCTCAACCACGGAGCCACCCAGGGATCCCCATGAACACCTTTTGATGTGCATAACCTCTTTTGTGAAATACTTGCTCATGTCTTTTGCTTACTTCCTAATTAGATTTTTTTCATTAAGTTTTTATAAACCATTAAATTTTGAGAGTTCTTTTCGTTCTTCTTTTCTTTTCTAGTCATTTATCGAATATGTAGTTGACAGGTATATTTTTCTCAGTGTGTAGTTGTCTTTGCATCGCTTTAATCGAGTCTTTCACAGAGCAAAAGTTTTTTTTTTTTAATTTTTATTTATTTATTTATGATAGTCACAGAGAGAGAGAGAGGCAGAGACACAGGCAGAGGGAGAAGCAGGCTCCATGCACCGGGAGCCCGACGCGGGATTCGATCCCGGGTCTCCAGGATCGCGCCCTGGGCCAAAGGCAGGAGCCAAACCGCTGCGCCACCCAGGGATCCCCGAGCAAAAGTTTTTAATTTCGATGAAGTCTGATTAATTTTTCCTTTATAAATCGTGCTCTTGATCATGTCTCAACTCTTCACTGCACTCCGGGTCCTAAAGATTTTTTCTGATGTTATCTTCTAAAGTTATAGTTTTATGCTTTATGTTGAAATATGATCTATTTTGAGTTGGCTCATTTTTGTGTAAGGTATGAGGTTTAGACTGAGGTTCTTTTTGGGGTTTTTTGGATATCCAATGACTTTGCAACAATCTATTAGAAATTCTATCTCCTTCATTGAAAAAAAAATTCTTTTTGCACCTTTGTGAAAAATCACTTGGCTTATTTGTAGGGCACTATTTCTGGGTTCTCCTGTTTGTTTTGTTGACCGATGTGTTACCCCTCCACCAATACCATGTAGTCAATACCACTGTAGCTATACAATAAAAGTCTTGAAATCAGTTAGAGAGATTCAGTTAGAGAGTTAGAGATTTTGCTCATTTTAAAGACTAAGCATTTTTCTTTTACAAAAAGATGAGTGTCTAATTTGCTGACTTTTCCCCCTGTGGTAAACACAAGGCTTTCAGTAGGATGCTACCTAACAGATGTTGAAAAAGCAAATGCAAAATATGTTTCTTTGGCGACATAATAGCCTTTTTCATACAAGGAGAAAGAACATAACTGCTCTTCCAAAAACACTAATGCTCTGAAAGGGCATTTTAAAAACTAATAATTGGATATCGTTCTCTTGTTGTTTGATTTTGCTGCTGGGAATGATGCAATGAGTCTTAGAAATTCACACTTAAAATGTGGTGAAACAATTTCCTTTTTTTTTTTTTTTTGGAAACAATTTCTTAATCGGTTTTAAGATTTCTCAGTTAAGAGCTTTAGTGGGTTTTAAACATATTTTATAATACTTTCTGATTAAGAACAAGTGACTGATGCTAAGAAAGGTGGGGATTAACAGTTAAATTACAACACATTTTTTTTTCATAATTGAAGCACAGTCAATGATATAATTCTCCCATTGGAAACTACATGTCCTTTTTATTTTTATTTTTATTTTTTTACATGTCATTTTTATTTTTTTTATTTTTATTTTTTAAAGATTTTATTTATTTATTCATAGAGTCAGAGAGAGACAGGCAGAGACACAGGCAGAGGGAGAAGCAGGCATCATACAGAGAGCCCAATGTGGGACTCGATCCAGGGTCTCCAGGATCGCCCTGGGCTGTAGGCGGCACTAAACCGCTGCGCTACCGGGGCTGCCCTCAAGTCATTTTTAAATTGTACATTTTGGCTATGATAGTAAGAGAAAATTTCTATAGAAAATAACCAAATTTAGAAGTATATATTTGTAATTTCAGGGTTATGATTTTCAATGAGGGTTTTTAAAAAGTAATGAAGCTTATTTTATAAATCTGCTCATTGAAAAAAAATTTTTTAATTAAAGACTATTTTTTTTTTAGAGGAGTTTTAGGTTTACAGGAAAATGAAGAGGAAGGCACAGAGATTTCCCATAAACTCCCTGCTCCCCCCATATATGTCCCCCCCCCCCCCAACAGATGGGCCTTTGTTAGAATTGATGAATCCTCCGCTGGCACATCATAATCACCCAATAGAGAAGTTTACTCTTGGCATTGTACCTCCTGCAGTTTGGGACAAAGGCGTGATGACATGTATCCATCATTAGAGTAGCATGCGGAGTATTTTCACTGTCCTAAAATCCCTCTATTCATCCCTACAGCCCCCCCCCGCACCCCCCCAGCAACCATTGATCCTTTTACCATCTCTGTAATTTGGCCTTTTCCATTATGTCATATAGTTGGAATCATACATCATGTAGCCTCTTCAGATTGGCTTCTTTCACTTAGTAACATGCATTTAAATGTCTCCCTTGTCTTTTCATGGTTTGATAAACATTTTTTGTACCAGGGGTGCCTGGGTGCTCAGTCAGTTATACGGCTGACTCTTGATTTCCACTCAGGTCATGATCTCATCTCACGGTTGTGCGATCTGGCCCCAGGTTAGGTTCCACACTTAGCGGCGAGTCTGCTTGAGGATTCTGTCTCTCCCTGCTCACTCTCTCTCTCTCTAAATCTTTAAGAAAAAGCATTTTTTGTACCATTAATAAAGTAAAAATGATAATCGGGGATCCCTGGGTGGCGTAGCAGTTTGGCGCCTGCCTTTGGCCCAGAGCACGATCCTGGAGACCCGGGATCGAGTCCCACATCTGGCTCCCGGTGCATGGAGCCTGCTTCTCCCTCTGCCTGTGTCTCTGCCTCTCTCTCTCTCTGTGACTATCATAAATAAATTAAAAAATTAAAAAAAATATTGTGTAATCAATGTTTCATCCTTTGAAAATCCTATTTTTATACTTAAAAAAATATTAGTATATGAAAAAAAACCAGTAAATGTACCTGCCATCAAAAACCCTACATTAGTACAGTGGTACTTCTATATGCAACCTACAAATAAGTTCATAT